AAGCCGATAGATGCAGCACCAACGACAGTCAGTCCATGGCCTGATTTCTCCAATGTCTCTTCATCAGCAGCCAATCTTTACACTCTCCCACCAGATCTATCCTTACTCCAACAGTCCTCTGCCGCCTCGTCTCCGAACTCAGAGGAATCTGACCGCCAGTGCCCTTGTCTATCCTGCCTCTACCTCTGTCTCAGCCACCTGTCTTCTCTCGCCCCATTCCCCCTCTCCCACCACAACCTATGCTCCCTCTACATCGCATCCAGAACCGCCCGAGCCGTCATCCGCTGCCAGATCTGTCCCCTCCGCTTCACAACAGGCATGCAAAATGTCACCTTCACCGGCACCTTATTGACCGTCATCGCCGATACCTGGCTACGCATATCCAAAGTTAACGCCGTCGACTTCGGCCGACAATCGGCACCACCGGCTTACGCCGCAGCAATAGATGCCTCCCCCAACCCTGCAAAAGGCTGGGAGGACTGGCTACGGCAAACCGTGCGATACCGTGTAATAGGAGGGCCGTGTGATCCGGCCGGTATGCCCCCGGGTGCAGATGATGGACCTAGCCTGCTTAGCCTTATAGAGGAAATGGAGGAGCGGCAACGGCGTTGGCATCGTTCACACCCGCTGCCTGTCGAGGAACGTCATCTTCCTATACCGAAGACGGACGGGTCCAAGGAGGAGGAATCGTGCCATGAGCGGGATGCGCTGTGCATGCGCATCATTCAGAGCGCGCGCAATGTCATTCCAAAGTTTGGTTTCCAGCCAAGTGATTATCCGGATGATGCGGTTGCCAAGAAGACCGCTTGATCTGGGACTGCCGGCATCTTCGATATAGAGGCTTGTGTTGGTGATAATGTGGCTATATGCGGGAAGCCATGTCTATATTAATACCGGGGTTTGAATTAACGACACCTAAACTTACGATTTTACGCCAATTACTATATATACTCCGATCTACTTTGAGAGGGACTAGTCTTGGTGATATATTAGCAATGTAGATTGATCTAGCGGCACGGTATGTACAAATTTGCATATCACCGAGTCCATAGGGTATTTCTTAATTTTGTAAAATTCTGGTATGATATCAAGAATATAACATTGGATGGGTGGTGACGACCATGCATGCGCCCGAAGAATGACTCCCAGAATGGATGATACAGTTACAATGTCATTAGAAGAAGCAAGTAAGAATGTCAATGTGGCTTAGAAATGAAGAGCCATTACTCTTCATCATCATCATCCACAATGTAGCGGTTCTTCTTCCGGGTTGGAGGAGTGCCTCTCTCAGGAGCCTCAGGGGAGGCTCGTTTCTGTCGGGGTCTGGCGGGCGGAAGGTCTTCCTCCTCGCCCTCGGCGTCCTCGTCTTCATCCTCCAGGACATCCTCTTCGTCGTCATCGTCGACGATTTCCGGCTCTTCGTCACTGCCCACCAGGAAACCATCGTCTTCGTCGTATTCGTCCTCGCGAGTGCGTCCGCGACGGTCGTATTCTTCTTCGTCGTCGGTGTAGATCTCGCCCCGACGATTTGGCCTGCGAGGCTTCTTCGCGCGAGGCCGGGTCGTCAGGAGACCGTCGTCATCTTCCAAGCCACCCACTGTGAGACCAGCACCTCCGGTGCGCTGGGTGAATCCGTGACGACGGCCACGGTCCATCTCGCGGTCCTGAAGCTGCTGGCGGCGGCGAGCAGCCTTCAGCTTCTCGCGCTCAGCCATTTCTGCCTGCCGCTTGGCAAGTTCGGGGTCCTCCTTGACTTCGATAACCGGCGCCGATCCGTCCAGCGTCTTCTTGCCTCCCCGGGCTGCTGCTGCCAGCGACTCCTGGAGACGCTGCACGGCATCGTCGGTTTCCACAGTTGTCGGGTAAACCGTGAGTCCATGGGTGAGGTGGGAAGTCAGCCGGAAGACAGAAGAGGCTTCTGCGGCTGCTCCCAGATAAACGTGGGAATCTAACTTGGTGTCATATTCGCCGGACTTGCTGAGAGGCGCCAGTGGCTTAGTTGAGATACGGTACTGCTCCTTTGGCGCGGACGCCAGCTGCAATGTCATGGAACCATCCTCCCAGCGGATGATACGAGCATTCGATTGCAGGAGCGACTCGTCCTGCGGGTCATGGCGCCAGCAGAGCGACGTGGCGGCTGTCGTAAATGGAGGTGGAACATAGGTCTCTGGGTTGAACTCTTCCGTTTCAACGGACAGGAAAGGGGGGACTGGCATTGTGTAGACCTAGGGTTGGCAATGGTGAGCTTGGCAACATGCAGAAGATGGATGCTTGTGAAACATACCTCGCCGTTTGAAGTCACAGGCTCCGGCGCCCGGCTCAAGCTCATGTCCATGATATTCACCGTTTCCTCATAGTCTGCGCCTCCTTCATAGTCCATGGGCTCTCCAACCCGATCATTGCGATCCACGTCATCTCCCGAATCGAGTTCTTCGTCGTCTAGCGTCCGCTGGGGTCGCCTGTATGACAGTCAATGCATGTCTTCTCACTAACCGGGACAATTGATCATACTCATTATCATCGCCAAACCCTCCATCGGAAGCGTCCGAACCAAACAGATCCGCATCATCGTAGCCGTCCGCGTTGCCCGCATCCGAGCCCGCGGGACTCTGGCTTCGCGCCGGAGCTTCACTGTGTTCACTTGCAGACGGACTGCCTGGTTGACCGGCACCTGCACTGCGCCCCGGACGGCGAACAACGTCCTCGTCTGAAGAAGACATTATGGGTGGTCAAGTGGAGCTCCGACAGGTGTGCGGCCAATGCCGAAGATGAAATGCGTTGGTGCTAGGGACGGCTGGAGAGTTCGGAGAAATTGTTTCTTGATAAGGCTTTGTAAAAAAGACTGACTGGAGGGTAGAAAAACACTAACACCAGGGCCAAAGTGGAATCAATGGGGCTGGGCGACTCTGGGAGCTGCGCGGTAGCAGTTAATTATTACTAGTTCACACTCATAAACTATGAGTTGAGTTAGTGAAAGTAACAGAGTCCCTCGGCGAAGATAATAATCCCTTCCGGGTCCAGGAGGGACTAGCGCAGCGGGCAGGTGGACGGGCCAGACCGAATCAGTCGAATTCCAGATCGGGACAACCCCAAACTCATTCATTCATTCATTCATTCCTCCTCACTTCCTCCTCAACTTTCTCTCTGTTAACTCCGTTGTGGATTGATTTCCCCTTCCCCCTCCCTCTCTTCAATCCTCTCGGGTCTCTCACTGAACTATTCTGAATTGCCTGATCGCCAGATTAGTCAGTGTTCCCGCACACGTGTGTTCCGTTCATCATGGCGACCTTCTTCCAGAGTGTGTATGTGCCTTCCCCTCCTCTTCCCCTAAATCATGCATCCCGTCCCTGTTGGACCCTTCACTCGCATGCGCTCTCTCTGGGTGGACAGTGCTGCATCATGCCTGGGCGCACCAAGGAATGATGCCCCCTGAATTCAGTGGCCACGTCCACCAGTCTGTGTCCTTTGTTTCAGCGCTGCGGCTTCATCTCCTGACGCTCTCTCCTTTTCCCTTCTGCCCCCCACATCTCCGTTTGGACACCAGCCAGAACTAACTTGCGACTTGTTCCCCCTTCCCAGCCGCCAAGGGTTTGGCAGAGGCAATAACAACAAGAACAACAACAACAATAACAATAACAATCCCGCAAAGATGAACAATGGAAGTCCGGCTCCGTCGCCGGCGTCTCAGATGCCTCCCGCCGGCCATGTGCCCAACTCGCCGTCCCTCACCTCGAGTCTCTCCGTGGACACCTCCGCCACCTACGACCCCGATGCCCCCAAGTACTTCTTCCAGGAGAAATACGCACCCCTCAATGTAAAGGGCAACTTCTTGACCTTGTGTGCCTGTCCCAAGAACGTGGAGCTGGGTGAATGGCTGGCCCATCAGAGTAAGCGGACTTGCTGCCTCCTCCGCTCGGAGAACCCCCCGCGCTGATCGCTTACTCCACACAGTCGTTGAACAATATCGCTTGCTCCATGGCATGCTCCAGGTTATCCAGGAGGTCAATAGCCTTACAGGACTGCCGATCTGCAACGAGAACACCTGCCCCACCATGTCGGCTGGTCGGTAAGTTGCTTTTTCTCCCGCGCTTAGAATTCGGAAATCGGTCTAACATGGACATTGCCGGATAGCTTGACCTACACCTGGCTGGTTGACGGTCGTGCCGCCAAGATCTCGGCCCCCAAGTTCATCAACCGTGTTGAGAAATGGATTGTCAGCAAGATTCACGACCCGGTCATGTTCCCCACGGAAAAGGTTACCGGTGTACCAGACACCTTTGCAGTCAATGAAGCGGGCGGGCCCAGCGCTACTTCCGGGGAGGAGTGGATCGGCAAGTCCAGCGGCTTCCCGCAGACGTTCTACAAGGACTGCCAGGGCATCATGAAGCAGATGTTCCGATGCTACGCCCACTTGTACCACGCGCACTGGCTGAACCCCTTCTGGCACATCAACAAGCATGACATTCTCAACATGTGCTTTGTCCACTTTGTCACGGTGGCCAAATACTACAAGCTCGTGTCTGACAAGGAAATGGAGCCTATGCAACCCCTTATCGACCTGTTCATCAAGCAGCAGCGGATCCCTCCGGAGGCGCTGGCAGGTGGCCACTGGGGCCAGCAAGCCTCTAGCTGAGCTAGGGCGCAGCAGAATTCCCATTCTTCCTTCCTCAAGCAAGAAAGTGGTCCGACCTGGCGTTGGAACCCTTTGATCGGATTAGACGAACCGACTTGATCCTATGATCGCGGTTTCATGGTGTCTTGACTTTTGCAGGACGCCTCGTGGATTACGTGACACAGAGTTGGCGTTAAGCATTTAGCATGCGGTGTGAAATATGTTCTTCCTGTGATTTCCTGCATATCCAGTCGTGGGACCCCCCACCGACTACGCGATTCTTGTAGCCTAGATTAACCTTGTGCATCCTGGCTGGACGAGAGCATTTTGAGATTATTTACCTGGAACTAGCCTGACGTGGAGATGACACTGATCAGCCAAATTGAGATTATGAACAATTAGCATGAAGATAACGTAGGGCCCCTCTTCCGGGAGGACTAGATAGTTCAACTAGCATGGAGACAATTAGCGGCGTGACGTCTCTCATGCTTTGACCGTATTCAGTAGAGAGGGCTGAACGGACAGCAGGGATTGAATAGCCTTCAAGTTGCAACATTGCGACACTCTTGGCAGTAGGTGAGGTAGTTGGTAGCTGCACATATAGAAGATCCCGTATGCGACAGATGGATATCTTGCAAATATTGCGTTGTACCTTTCCTTGTCTCGAATTCATCACCCAGACGGAGGTTCATCACTAGAGATAGACTCCCTCCTGATCCTGATCGTGATCTTGATTCCGGTCCTCATTCCCCGCAGCGGGGTTCCGCACCTCCTCCGTCCCTTCTACCGTTCCATTCCCATTTCCATTGGCATTCGCTTCCCCATTTGCTTTCTCCTTCTCCGGATCGTCCAGCTCAATCCATTTCTGTCCCCTGTTCTCCACCTCTGTCTTCAGTAGCTCGATCCTCTCCAGCATCGACACCGCGACGTCCTCGTTCTCCTTGATATAGACCTCGAGTTCTTGCTTTTCGGCTTCCGTGTCACATGACTCGTTGATAAATGTCCTCAGTTCCTGGTTGGAGCGGTGGAGGTGTGCCATGGAGTTGCGGATCTCGGAGACTTTCGCGTAGAGCACAGGGAGGGGAAGCTCTTTGATGGCTTCGGCGAAGGCGGCGGGGCTGATGGGAAGGGATTCGGCGGACATGGTTGCTTGCTTGCGTTGAGGTTTGATGCGTATATGTAAGATGAGATGAGGGGCTTGATAGATAGAGGTAAGTAGAAGATAGATGAAGATGGTTCTATAGCAATCCAGTAGTCATTCTTCTGAGAAGTTCAGTTGAAGCTTATCGGAAAGGGAATGTAATGGTGTTATCTCCACGTGATGGGGCCACGTGCATGAGGCTATTCGGGGATGATGTTTCTTTTCTAGAACAAGACTAGAAATTACTCAGTTCGCAGTGACCTCAATTGAACTAAGATTGTAGGTGGCTTTCCCATTGCGCCATGTGTTCCATGCACACATAACCCAGGGGACTACTAGCTCTACCAACCATCAAGTATACTGCTTAGTCTCACTGCGGAACAATTCTCTCGGCAGACGGAGAAAATCCGGCTCTCTCCGCACTCCATCGAATCCACCACCACCAACAATCAACATCATCGTCCATTGCGACACGGGTTCCCAGACCCCCCGTTGCAGGAGATGAACAATGCGTTGGGCGTAGCCTGGCGCATACCATGCGCGGGGCTCCGTGCCTCGAGCTGGCTTGCCCCATCAACATCAACATCACCTCTCCGCTCCTCCGCTCCTCTTCGTCTCTCCACCTCTACAGCCACCCTCCCATGGCAACCCGATAGCATCGCCAGGCGCCTTTTAAGCTCCTGGTCAAGCCAATCCTCACCCCTCTCTAGACAACCAACCACTCCCTCCTCATCCCTCATTCCCATCCGCTCCCTCCACAGTACCCACCCTCTCCGCGCCAACCACCCAACATCTCCAGACCAATCCCAAGAACAAGGCGCCCATCCCCGCTCAACACCCTTCACGACCACCGAACTCAAGACTATCTTCGGCCCACGTACGAAACTTCCCCCAGCCCTTGCGAACCGCGTCCTCGCCGTCCTCCACGGCCGCCGTCTCCTCGGCACCCTGGACCTAAACCTCCCCGCTGATATCGTCCGCTCCGTGCACCCGCGCAGTCTCGAGCTAGCACTCAAGTACCTCCGCGCGAACTACCCGGTTGACGAAGATGCCGCGATCCTGGCCCGCGTGGAGCGCGAAATGGACGAGGAGGAAGCAAGAAATGTACAGCGGTACATGCCGCAGGGTGGTGAGTATGGCGCCGATGTGAATGGGGGCGCAAGTGCGTCGCATAATCCGTCGGGAAAGAGTGTGTTGGAGGAAGTCCGGACGCAGAATGAAGCGTACTTGCTGGCCGAGCAGGAGAGGAAACGACAGGAGTGGTTGTCCCGCGGCATGCAGCATGATGAGAGGGTTAGGCGCTCATTGGAGAAGAATAGTCTTGCTCTGCGGGATGTGGATGAGAAGACTGCGCTGGAGATTGCGCCGAAAGGTACGCTTTAATGGTGGATTTGGTTTATTGTTGGTGACTGACGATCTCTTTTGCGTGCAGACCGACAACTTGCGGACCCTAAGCAGCGTCCTGTTCTCGCTTGGGTGCAGAAGAATTACATGGCTGCGGAGGACTTGGACTTTGATCTAAACAAGCTCACCCTGGTAGGTTCTTTCATTATCATCTTGCATGTTATTTCCTTGTCTAATCTATAAACAGCGTCAACGGCTTCTCCCCTCACTTGCGTTCGTGCTCCTAACCCTGGGTCTCTGCTACGCCTACACAATGTATTACGAACCGCCCGCAACCTCCGACAGACTATGGCCCAATATTCCTCGCTCAGCTGCAACGGTCGGCACCATCATCGGTATCAATACTGCTATCTTCGCGCTCTGGTGGTTCCCTCCGTGCTGGAGACTCTTCAACCGTTACTTGATCAGCATCCCTGCCAACCCTAATCCTCCCGTGAGACTCCTCGGCAACATCTTCAGCCATCAGTACCCTAAACATCTGATCTCGAATATGCTGTTTCTATGGTTCATTGGAACCAAGTGTGAGTTTCTCTCTCATATCCTTGCTTTAATATTCGCAAACCCAAAACTGACCTGTGTGTGACTGCTCACAGTGCACGATGAAATCGGCCGCGGAGAGTTCCTATCTCTCTACATCGCCTCTGGAGTTGTCGGCTCGTTCGTCACCCTCACGGCTCACTGTCTCATGGCTCAATGGACTGTGAGCGCGCTCGGTGCCAGTGGTGCCCTCTCTGGCGTTGTGGCAGCTTACTGCACGTTGAATGCCAAGTACGTACCCCATCCTTTCCTCCTCTCATCTTCAATCTCAACTAATAACACCCTACAGCGAAAACTTGCAATTCTTTTTCCTCCCCGAAGAATGGAAGAAGATGCTTTCCGTCCCTGGATGGACCATCATTACCACCATGGTTGCTCTGGAGTCAATCTCATTGGTCCGCCGACTACGTGGTCCTCATAAGCTCGATCACTGGGCCCATATGGGTGGCTACTTGACGGGTATTTCCTGGGCTTTGTGTCGGCCAAAGACGGAGCGGAAACATCCTGAGAGTGGGACTACTTGGTATCGCTGGCTGTCTTCGAAGAATTAGGACCTTGCCTGGTGTTGTTGGCTACGGATAACTGGTAGCTGTGTATTTATAGTTTCGCATTCTAGAAGGCTAGATTGTATGGATATCTTCTCTATCTAGGGGTTTGGGCCATGTCGTAAATCTGGGGACGCATTTATTGTCGGGATGATGTCTGGTTCTTGCTCCTGTTTTCTCTGTATGTACCCTATTCGAGGCAAGGACAGGAGTTAGATGGACAAACACATCATAGAGATAAAGGATACTCCGGTAGTCACCTTCTTGAATCTTCATCCTCTCCTGCGCTAACGAGATATCTGGTTTCGTGGGATGTGTCAATGGGTATCTCTCTGGCATCATGGTACTTCCCGGCGCATCGCCACGACAATATGGTTAGAGCCACACATAGACTGCATATGGAACAAGTCGGGTGGAGATTGTCTGGAGTCATCAGCTTCTCACTAGCAAGTTTGTCTGTTTATAAATAAAACATACTTCCTTTCCCACGCGCGTACGCATGGCACCTCTCCTGTGCCGACGCGCACGTCCCACATATAATTTCGAGTTCATGCAGTTGCTATATCCATACTTGTATATGCAAATTGTAGAACGCATCAGTATGTAGGGTCCTCTTCATTTTTCCTTCTTGAGGTGCCCTGGCGAAGACCCATTTCTCTCCAGTCACTGGCCTAGCCCAGCGTGTCAGTGAATGGCACCTCGCTCACGTCCCAAGTTCGCTTCTCACAGAAGAACCTTTATCTGCTCAATATTATTCCTTCCTCAAGAGATCCTGATCTTTCCAATCCACGCCGTTCTACATCATCTTCGTTGTCGCCTCGATTCACTGGTTCTCTTTCAATCTACATCTCCTCAACCCTCTCTTCCTCTACATTGATCCTTCACGGTCCGTTGCTTCAGCACACGCTCGTCCCTTTGCACCCGAGACACGGTTTACGCGTTGCTACTGCTTCGTGGTTGTTGTATGAACAATCCTCGGGTGCCTTCAAATCCTGCCTGTTTTTGTCACCATGCCAGGCCAGGTCCTCGTAAGGTCTGAAGTCGAGCCCCTCTCCCTCATCCCAAAACTCGTGAAGAGCTGCAAAGGCGCTATATTGGATCCACAGGAGCTCGAAAATTTCACCTTTTCCCTTCAAGGATTGGAAGAATGCCATACCACTAATGAGGGGTTGGATCACGTTTCGAGAGTGGCCAAGGCAGCCCTAATTGAACCTCCCATGCATGATGTTGAGTGTTTCGAGACAACGTGGGCAACAGACTCCATTGCTTTCTCTGCCGAAGGAAGCGCTAATGTCGAAGAACTCTCTGATGTCGACGAATGTCCGACAAGCGAACCCCCAGCGTATATTCTGACATGGTTTGGGTTGAACAAGATTGACTATCACTTGTACCTCGCTCACAATGAAAGAGGCATGGACGATAATACGAGACGCAACAGCATGTTTATGTTTGATGGCGATGAGTGCCGTCCTTGTCCTTACAGTCAGCTATCTGATCTGCAAACTTATTATCCAAACGGTGTCGGTAAAGATAAAGACCCTATTATGCTGATCAATTGCTTGCCTGTACGTGGTAATCCTGCTGTTCCCGCTGACAAGGCCTATATCTTGGGTTTTGATTTTGACAGCGGGAATCTCTTCGTCCGCCAATTTGCCTGGTTACCAGAATACATGGACGACGTCTGGTGCGTCTGGAACGAGGGCTTTAACCGGTACGAAGTGCAAATAAAAGCCTTGCGTGATACCCTCAGGCAATGCATTGACGAATGTGAGCTGGATCCGGGCGTGGGTATTCTTAGCAAGGGCAAATACGTTGTGGACAACTGGGAGGGTGTGGGAGTCAGCGAAGATCCCGGCATGGAGCTGGTGATTGTCATCAAGTTCTGTTTGTGGGTTGTGGATATGGCAGAGCCGATGATCCTGCCCTCTGTTCCTGGATCTGAGTCGCTCGTTGGAGATTTCCAGAGGTACGAGGAGGAGTGCCGCAGAATCTTGGCCTGCGCCTCAGCTAGATTCTGGAAGCGTGTCCAGAAAGGCTATACGGAAGAGCAAGAAAGATGCGAGAAAGCCAGGAGCCGCTACATCGATGACTTGATGACCCTTCACGTGCCTGAAGCACATGAGATTGAGAACGTCAAAAGATGTGCGCCCAGTCTGGATACTGCCAGCAAGCTTCGCCAGCAGTATCAAGATGGGCGAAGGGAATGTCACGAGCAAGGCTTGCAGGACGTGTTTACCCTTCCAAAGAATGCCAGTATCTCCAAGTCTCCTGAATCTACTTTCAGAGATATAGTTGAGAGATCGAAACAGGCATTGGCGTCAAGCATGCTGTCCTCTCCTCCTAAGGCTCCGCAGGCTAACTCACGTCGCTTCGCTCAGGCCCAATCGCATAGTGACTGGATTGCTACAGCATCGGGGCATAGCACTTCCTCAAGTGAAGAGGATAGCTATTCTGACGCCTCTGAGTCACGCAAATCACCCGTTCCAGTGTTATTGAGGCGGATGTCTGACCTTTCGCAGGCACATCCAGAACTTGACAATGTCAGTATTCGCGAACAGTTGGAGGCGATTCTTTCCGAGATGAAACTGACTACGGGGTAAGGCCCTGTGGAGAAAGGGGATGCAGCTCAGGGTTTATGGCCTGGGGAAAAGGAAGTTGGAGTTTGCATGCTGGTAAAGGACAATATCCCCAGTCCAGATCTTGATTAACATGATGGATTTAAATGCATGGCGCTCTGTGGAGTGCGTTGGAAGTGAAGCACTCTGGATGTTTTGAGTCCGGAGCTGGTCTAAATGCGGATGTTTGGAGTCACTTTGAGGATGATCATCTGGTGGACCATTCTAGCGTTCTGTTGGAGTTTATGGCCGTTTCTTTGTATCCTTTGAGGTTGGTTGATGGATAATCAGTTCTCCTTCATCCTTGCGCAGGTTGGAGATGTCTGTACCTCTTTCTTAATAAGCTCTATCACATGCAAGCCTTACATCTGCGCCCTCATGCCATTGTAGTAAGACGTGGACCTTTTCATCATATCATAATTGACTGGGATTAAGTGTCTCTTAATTTCATCAATATCAAGATCTCCAGTTGAAGCCACAGACTGCGAGGAGGCTGGGTGATCTTCGGGACTTCTAAGGCAAAGATGCTAATTAGTATAGCAGTAATGATAGTATGAGCAACATATACAGCAGCTTCCGTTTCATTGGTACTAAATCTACGAAGAATTCCACGAGAGCGGGACAGACGATACACAGCATCACGTGGGTGCATATACTTCAATCGCCTGCATCAGGAAGGCACGGCACTGACTATTTTCATACATAAAGCATCTACTTCGGTTACTTACTTCTCGACAAGGCATCTGTCATTCCTCTGGGCAGACATCATCCTTAGTTCCCTAGATAGTGCTTGATGTTGATAACCACTAATTAGTCATTGTATGTCACATAAAGTAGCCATAGCAGAATAGCCATGTGCAGGAATTGGATGAGACACAGACATACATGTCCTGTAATGAAACAAACACGTTGGAAATGAACTGAATCATTACGATCCACCGCCAAGTATTCTCAGCTAGGCAGCCACAGCGATGCTGCACCGCCGCCTACCAATCGGGGTTAGCCGCAAAGGCAGGTGTGGCTTGAGAGTGGCTCTGCAGTGGGACAGCCGGCCATGGATCGCCCCACCGGGTTTGCCGGCAGGAGGCCATTGGCCCAGGTGGGAAGGTTAAGCGCCCCGCTATCTCTGGGCAGTCATCACCAGCTCTTCGCTCCTGTCCAATCAATTGACAGCTCATAAGATGAGCCAAGGAAACAAACGATCAGCGGTAATCCTGGACGCGGTTTGGGAATTATCATTTTCAGGGAGAATCGTGTACATCGTGTACTTACCGTGTACCATTTAGCCGACATCCATGGTAGTGCCTGACCCAGCTTCGTAAGGTATCTAACTCCTTCTCCTCCCTAATGGGGCCCTATAGTTGGATACTTTCGTACTTACTATACAGAGTACATCCCTACCCGGTCTTGGTCGCAGAGCTAAGCTGACCCCCTGAGAACTGCTGCCAAGATCGCTAATCTGTCGGAGAATTGGGGGTCCGCGCAGTCTGCAAAGGAGTCCGCATTAGAAATCTTCCCTTTATGAAGAGTCCACGGTGATTGGAGGATTGAGATCTACTGTGCATTTCAATTTTTGGCGAGAGTCCCTGAGGGCACAAGTGCCACTAAGTACTTACCTACCTACTAAATACTACTAGATTGATAGGTACCCGTCACTAATAATCCGCCCCCGTGTAACTTCACCCTGCACACTCTCGAGGTACATGCAGGCAAAGCAAACCAGCCTTGTGCCCGTCCTTCCCTTCCATTCATCCCACCCACCCTCCTCTCTCTCTCGCTTTCTCTCTCTCTCTCTTTCCGTCATTCTCTCTCGGTCTTCCCTTCTCAGCCCTGCAGCCCTACTGGGTAACTCCGCTGCCATCCCCTCCCTTCTACTTTGGACCTGTACCCGATTCCATTCCGGTTGTCGTGCGACCGTCGCTTGACTCGCTTCCATATTCTTGGAGCCTGCCATACGAGGTCTTAATTATTCTCTCTCTCTCTCTCTCTCTCTTACGCTTGGTCCCTCACCTAGCTGCATCTTATATTTTCGGAAAGTCAGCTGGCAGTTCCTCGGCCTTACGAAAACAAGCATTGGCTGTATTCTGTCGTTCCTTCCTTAACTTGACTTTCGGGCTCACTCCTTCCTTCCCCTTCCAAACAATCTCTCTCAACCCGCGCCCTGCCCTTCCTTCCTTATTCATTCTTGTCCTCTTGGCTGTTTTCTTGATACCCTGTGCCTGTCTTTTTTTTATTTTTCTCTTTCCTGCTTTGCAATAATTACTACCACTTCCATATCGTCTGCCATTTCCTGTTCTGCTCCGTTTCCGATAATTCCGGTAATTTTGGTATTCTACATCTACTCCAACTTCAACCTCTACTTCTACTTCGACTACTACTGCCAACACTAATCGAATCCTCCCGGCATGGCTCTTCCCGGTAAGCTGCCGTCTTGCAACCCCTTGACGCTTCAATCCAGGCTTCATTGCCCACGGTACTCGGGATCTTGTAGCTGACATCATCAGACCATGCCCCTGTCGCGACCATGAATGGCCATGCGTCCGACCTCAATGCCCAGGTGGACGTAATCTGCGGCCCTCTGATCAATTTTAAGAATATGGTTGTCAATCCATCTTCGTCCACTTGGCGTGGGAGCGTCTTGATCGTTACAAAGCCGGGTCAGAGCCAGCCACGGCTGCTCTTACGCCAGGTCGGCCCCATTGGGGCCAGCTACGCCGGCAATGGTGCTCGAGCAGGAGACTCCGCGGTGACCGTGGATGGTGTCCGTCTGTATGAAGATCCCCAGAAAGCATTCTGGCGTTTCTCCCTCTCGTTCGCTCTGGAATCATATGAAGCGCGCTGGGAATACGCGATTCCAGGGTTCACATATGTAGAGGGCGACAAAGCACCTCTGTCATGGGACTTTGTGGTTCCTTCTGTAAACCAGTCAATGCGTATGATGTTCCATTCGTGTAATGGCTTCTCGGTCGGCACGGACATGAACGCATGGGTTGGGCCTAACCTCTGGAATGATGTCTTGCGCGTGCACGCCCAGAAACCCTTCCACGTCATGATCGGGGGTGGCGATCAACTCTACAACGATGGCATCCGTGTGGATGGACCGCTTAAGGAATGGACTTCCATCTCCAATCCTCATACAAGACGTGCCCACAACTTCGACAACAGCCTGCGCGCCAGGTGCGACGAATACTACTACGCAAACTATGTCCGATGGTACTCTACCCAGCCATTCAAGGGTGCCAACGGGCGGATTCCCCAAATCAACATCTGGGACGATCATGATATCATTGACGGCTTCGGCTCGTACACTGACCATTTCATGCGCTGCTCCGTCTTTCGAGGTATTGGCGGCGTTGCCTTCAAGTATTACTGCCTCTTCCAGCATCACATCGCCCCGCCAAAGTCGACCTACACCACCGATGCCCCTCAAACAATGCACGCCGTCAACGGCACCGCCGGCGCGGATCCGCGACAGCTGGAGAACACTTTTGTCCTGGACGAACAGCAGGAAGATGACAGCTGGATCATCGGTAAGCGTCCAGGACCTTACGTGGAGGAAAGGAGCAGGAACCTGTACATGCGTCTCGGCAAGCGGATTGCCTTCATTGGCGTTGATGCGCGCACCGAGCGCACTCGTCACCAGGTGAACTACCCAGACACGTATGACCTTATCTTCTCTCGGCTCCAGAGCGAAGTGGCGGCGGCCAACGGAGATATCAAACACCTGGTCGTGCTTCTGGGTGTCCCGATTGCGTATCCCCGCCTTGCATGGCTGGAGAACATCTTGAGTTCGCCCATTATTGCCCCGATTCGTCTGCTGAACAAGCGGTTTGGTTTCGCAGGAGGTCTGTTCAACCAGTTTGATGGCCAGGTGGATTTGTTGGATGACCTAGACGATCATTACACGGCCCGCCAACACAAGAAAGAACGGCGGGTCTTCATCCAGCGTCTGCAGGACTTTGCCAAGGCCCATTCAGTACGTGTGACGATTCTGGGTGGTGATGTGCACTTGGCGGCCATCGGAAGATTCTATTCGAATCCCAGTCTTCGCATTCACAGTGAGAATGATCCGCGGTACATGGTCAATGTCATTAGCAGTGCGATCACCAATAAGCCTCCGCCGAAGGCCGTCGCAAATCTCCTCGCGCGGCGAAACAAGCTCCATCACATGGATTCGTCTACCGACGAGACGCTGATGGACTTCTTTGACCGCCAGCCCGGTGGGCAGGAGAAGAGTGCCTCCTGGAATAAGGTGACGATGCCATCGCGAAACTATGCCTGTATCACGGAGATTGAGACGCCCGCATCTAATGGCAATGCCGCCGCGGCTCAGGACGAAATTACTTCGTTTCCCCTTCCCATGGACGGGCACTCTCCCCTCCACAAGGGCGAGAAGAACGCCGGCTCGAGTCACCCTGCCGCCGATGGGTTCAGTAGCAGCAGCGAGATGTGGGGAGGTCTGGACGTGGCCATCCGGGTGGAGATCAACCCCCAAGATCGGGAGGCAACAACTGATGGCTATGCCTTCAGCAGTAAGTTCCATGTATGCAGCTTCTTTGGCCTTCATTCACTGACTCGCGGCATAGTTCCCGCTTTGGCTTATGTGCCATCCGAAGCTGACTCTCGGCCCAATTCCCGCGCTCGCTCCCTGCGCCCTCGATCCCTTCGTCCGCCATCTCGCCAGTCAGCGCGTCGTCCCCAAAGCGCAGTCTAATGGTGGACAGACCGCCGATTGTGACAGCTGTCTATATCCGTGCCGTCCGTTCGGTGCATGAATATCAGGTGAGGTTCAGTCCAAACGTTAGTTGCTTTGAATGCAGGTACCATTTTCTGGTCATGTAGGATATATCCATTTGCGTGTCATATACTTTTTCTGTTATTTGAATACCTAATGCAGTTGTCGTATTCATTGTTCTGAATGATCGATGCTTTTTCTTCTTCTTTTCTTTAAGCTCCCAGGCAACCATCCACGATTCATATTTGTCAAACTTATCGTTGGCTTTTCAACTTGGCAGAGTGCTTAGTGTTCTCACCGATTCCATGTACATTGTTATAGGATCGGTCATGCTGCGAATAGCACGGTCATACTCCGGTTGGAAGATCGACATGGCTGGAACCGCATCCTTCTGATGTATGTACGGAAGTGCGTTGAACAAAGCGGGTAATGCGACAATGATGTATCTCCAGGGTTACACTCGAACAGCTACACGTGTTCTTCATCATAGAGTATAATTGGAATTGGTGGCGCCACTGAGAGTGACCGCAGACTCTGTCTCCAAATGTGCGACTTGTCACATCTGTCCAAGTCCGCACATTTGGGCCACCACCCCCAGCAGCCCTGCCAGCAACTATGTCTGCTGCCTTCTACGTATCGCATCCAGATTCAGTGTTGGCCTGGGGCCTGCATCGGTCAACCTACTCTGACTCGTATCTAATAGTCTTTCTGATATGCTTGCTCCGAGGCTGCGCGCCATGCTGACGCATGTCTCGGTCGCCATGCAAGGGCGCTCAGCCAGAGTGCAGCAACATGATTATTACCGCTTCCCACCAGTAACTTTCTAATCTCAACAAGAGGTCCATATAGTTATTGCCTGTTGTGTTACATAAGACAATGTCACCTCCTATTCAGGCCTGCAAGGGCGTGTGACCGATTCCGGGCTGTTCGTCCAGGGGCAGCGGGCACGAGCATGTATATCCCACAAACACTTACCACATCGTTTAGCTCGGTCATTGTATCCAACCACCTGAGTTGATTCTTGCGATGGATGCGACCAGAAATGTCGAACTGGCGAGGCCTGGCAGCCATGGGCAAAACAAAGTCGCACAGATATCCCAACTGGGAGAGAAACACGAGCAGGAGGGTCTCGAAGCATCGAGGTACAAGCCGCAATTGCGTTGTAACCGCTCGGTCTTCACTCTTCTTTTCCAGACATTAGCCATTGCGGCGATCCCCTTTGGAGAAGGAGGGCCTCTCCTCGATGCCATCTATGGCGGTGGCCCATTGTCCGTCTTCGTCGGCTGGATCGTCGTTTGCCTCTTATGCGAGTGTATCGCCCTCTCGCTTGCTGAGCTCGCGTCTCGATATCCCACCTCAGCTGGGCCCTACTACTGGTCCTACCGGGTTGCAGGACGCTCCAAAGCAGCTGTATCCTTCGTTACCTGTTGGGTCTGGCTGATTGGCAACTGGACCATCACTCTATCGGTCAACTTCGGGTTGGCATCGATAGTCTCGGCCTCGATCTCAATGTTCCATCCAGAATGGACAATTACTAGCTGGCAACTTCTGCTGATCTTATACGCCGTCTTGTTGGGAGCATTCTTCATCTGTACATTCGGTAACCGGTATCTACCTCAGGTGGACATGATCAGCGCAGCCTGGACGGTGCTGACAATTCTCGTCATCCTCATTGCGCTCTCTGTCAAGGCGGGTGCCGGCAGGCATAGTGCTGCCTACGCATTAGGTCACTACGACTCCAGCTTGTCGGGATGGTCGGGCTTCTCCTTCTTCATCGGACTTCTCGCGCCTGCATACACGTTCTGTGCCATCGGCATGGTTTCCTCCATGGCAGAAGAATGCAACAAGCCAGCCGTGGAGGTACCATGGGCCCTCAGTCTCTGTGTCCCTGTGGGGGGTATAGCAGGTCTATTCTTCGTCCTTCCCATCTGCTTCACTCTCCCTCCTCTGGAAGATATAATCAATGCCCCTGTTGGCCAAGCTCTGCCATATATTTTCCATGTAGTCATGGACAGTCCCGGCGGCGGCCTTGGCCTCACTGTGCTTGTTTTAGTAGTCAATTTCTGCGCTAGCATCAGCATTACCGTCTGTGCTTCACGAGCCAGTTGGGCCATCGCTCGAGACGACGCTATCCCCCTCTCGCGACTATGGGCGCGTGTACACCCGGGCCTTGGCGTACCTGTCTGGTCCTTGACCTTTGGTACCATCATTCAGATGCTTCTAGGGCTCATTAACCTTGGCAGCAGCAGCGCCTTCACTGCCTTTGTCTCTGCGGGCGTCATTGCACTAGCAGCCTCGTACGCCATTCCCATTGCACTGAGCCTTCTGAACGGCCGTCGCGAGGTATCCCAAGCTCCATGGACCTGCGGTCCCATCCTTGGGCCAATCGTCAACGTCATCGCCTTGTGTTGGATTGCGTTCGAGTTGGTTATTTTTAGTATGCCAACCTCGTTGCCAGTCACTCGCGTTTCCATGAATTACGGCTCTGTTGTCGTTGTAGGGTTCATGGCTATCTCGGCATTCTGGTACGCTGTGTATGCGCGGAAATGTATGTCTCCTCCATTCCACTCCATACCACATGATTTTCTAGATAGTAGCTAACCATATAATAGCTTTCAAGGGTCCGCTGGCATCAATTGAGATGATGTGACTTTATGTTGATTCTAATGTCAGGTAACGAAATGTTTACGATTTCGGTATTTCTCAACGGTAGTCACGGTGTTTGCTCTGCTTCACGTCTTTACCAAAAGTACCCGATACTCTGAGTATATCTGACCCGTATAATTTAAGTCTGTCCCACACATCTTTATGCAAATCCGTAATGCGAGGTGGATCCGATTCCATTCTGAATTCTACAGCTTTGATATCAGCGTAGATTTAGTCTCCCGACTAGGCCGAATCGTAACTGGAAGATCAGCCTTTCGGGAAACCGCGGCATAATAGAGGGCCATTGTAGACCGCGCATTAGTATTCGGGGGATGAATATATCACCAGTTAGTGATTGTTATCATAAAACTCGTAGCTACTTTAGGTATGAGTATTGTGCCAGTTTCAACGTGATAGATCTTCTGTTGGGTATACTTGAACAGATATTATTATTATTATTATTATTATTATTATTATTATTATGATGGAATTATACTCAAATATAGCACATCTAAGGCACTCTTGCTGAGTCACTAACGGCCAGAAGAAGTCAGATACTTCCCTAACACATGCTAGTAATTTTTCATCCTAACCAGATACAGGCGGTACGTCGTCATGTAGATCCTATATAAGAATTATAATTCTATCTCTTATACCACATCCGGATTGGCCGTCTTCGTGTATTGGTATAAAAGTCTATAGGAAAACCTCATGGGAAAATCCATATAGAAATTCTTATTACACTCGGTATAGAGACAGCGAAGGGGAGAGATATGAATGAGAACTATGCTCCATGACCTCCCTTAATATATGTTGGATACATTCTCCTTCCTGGCACTGGGTGTGTGTCTGATTTCCCCTCTTTCACTGTGGTATCTTAAGGCAGCCGCGGGGATCGAACCCACTACACTTTGTACTAGCGTGGAGTTGAGGAATCTCTCTCAGACGCTCTGTAGGAGTGTCATCCAGGATGGCTTACCACTTAGACCATCCGGCCACCAACTTGAACAGATATATATATCCGCATGATGCGGTAGGGACAGCTCAAGTGAGGCTCAGAGAACAGACGAACAACTACTGCCGCATGACTGGTATCTGAATTTCGGCTAGTACAAAATAGTGCAAGCTTCAATACTATGACGTACATCCATAACATGATTATTTAGTTTATTCTGCACTACGGAAAAGTAGGTTGAAAGGTCATGCAGTCAAGTTTTCAACTCCTTCCTTTCACCAATACAGTACCGATTACTGCTTATTAACAAGTAACAACTAATATGTACGTCTTTACTGCATCTTGCAGTACATCGTATTATTTAATATATATAATCCATGATAGCAGTAAGTAGTAGGTTGTGACCAGAGCAACGTGTGCGTGGATTGCTGCACAAGCATCAGGAAAGAGGGGATGATATGAAATGAACCTCCTAATAATTCGAATCGTCCTGACAATCCAAACTTCCAGAGAAATTTAGCATATCTCTACCGTAATCAATGCTATAGCCTCTACGGCGACGCGGGAGTCCCTCGTTGGGCATGCGACGCGGCGTGGATGGGGCGTTTTCGGATGGTTGTCGTCGACGCACAACCTGGTAGCCCTTGTCTATCTCGATTTCGATGACGCAGCGGACTTTTAATGCGCTGACGGCGGGCCAGACGCCTCGCTCTCCTTTGAGAGACCAGTATGCTAGACGGTCTTTGCTTGGGTTCTGGAAGAGCTTGGGGAGGTCCAGGAGGGAGACGTCGGGAACGAGGGTAAGATGGGGGCCAGGGATGGTCTCCTCGATGAGGAGCCGTGCAAGAGTTGCAGGAAGGAGGCCCATGTAGTCTAGTTGTCCGAGGCGGTGGTGGAGCTCGGCAGTAAAGAGACGCATTAGAGCTTGAGTGACGCTCCATTGGTCGGTTGGGCGACGGTCTAGTAGGTTCGAGTCCGAGCGTAAGAAAGGGATTCGGTATGGTCGGGCCTGCGACACGATGAAATGGTTGACATTGAATAGCTCGGCGATCCGGGCTAGCGGTGATTCTTCCTCTTTGTAGTGACCTTGACGCCAGGATTGATAAAAGGTTGCGTCCCGAGAATGCGGCCAAGGTACAATCGAGCCTGTTTCGTCTTTACAGAATATTGTGACTGGCTGGTAAAGTGAGTTGTTGGATGCATTGGAAGCTACAGCAGCGGACCAGATCAACTGCAAGAGTGATTAGATCACAGACGGTTCATTGATTGGGAGGAGCATGTGTGTTTCTCCACGTACCACATTCGGTGCAGTCAGGTAGTTCAGTAAGTTCGGGGTAGCGTTTCTATTTGATGTGGCAACAGTGATGTTGAGTATGCGCTTGGACCGGGCATATGCTTCTTCGAAAGTGAGGTCGCCGAGATTGGCGCGAACGCATTCCTCTAGCACCTCTGCATCAAGGAAGTAGCCTTTCTGAATGAATCGATTGACTCGCCGCAATAGTGTCCCCAGCCAACTGTCCCCGAGATTAGAAGGCAACCACCAACTCTCTTCTTCAGGCCTTTTCATCCGTCGTCTACGATCGAAGGCGCTCAGATCGATGGCACCGCTGTCAAGAAAGGTGAGCAGCTCATCTTCGCTATGGATACCCACCAATGCTGCAATGAGCGCCCCCATCCCTGTCCCGGTAATGATCCTGGGCAGGAGGCCACGCAAATGGAGAGCCTTCACTACCCCGAGGTGGCAGAGTCCAAACATTGAACCGCCCTGTAACAGTAGGGTTGTTCTCCCAAAGGCTTGCCGAGTATCGTGCAAAAGTTCAAGCTTTGCTTGCGACGAGAACCCGCTGTCGTGAATCGGGGCAGTTTGAAGAGCCGTGACCTGTTGAATCGAGAGGGCAACTTGCGTAATATAGTCATCTATGAGAAGCTTGGTGCCAGCGTAGGCATGCAAGAACATCTTGGGAGAGGTAATGTTGCCCAGATTCCGAAGCAAACCGGAGCGAAGCAGGTTCGCTAAGGTCAGGATATCCTCATCCTCGCGAGCGCTCATAAGAGCCTCCAATCGACCCAGGATCAGTCGGTAGTCGTAATGCCGGCTTGTGGGATTCTGACGCCTAAATCGAGTGGTCAGATAAGAACAGGACTTTCGGGGTTTGTTTTGGATGCCGCAGTGGTGTTCGGCACGAAGTGAATCTGCTCACCAGAGGTCCATGCTCAAGAGCTCGTCAAGCTCGAAAGCAGCCTCTTCCCAATCCTCAAAGGTGGACGCTGTCCTCAGAACATGCTGCAGTCGCTTCCGAGGAGACTTGGATCTCCACCAGGACAGTAATCGCTTAAGATGGAAAGCTGCGTTAGCTACCTGCCCAGCACCAACTAGCTTGTAGCTTTCATCCACGACAGGCCGGGGCTGCAGGGGACAACGTACTTCTTTCCAGAAGAAGGCAACGTCGAGTATCATGTTTAGGACAGCGACGAATAGTCCGCAGATGGTCGTCCAGGACCCCATTGCGACTGGAAAGAAACCGGGCTTTTTACTCTGCGGGGAATCAAAAACAGCGTTGGCACATGGCGAGGGGAAGCGACATTCACATGCTTGATGCGGTCAGCAGGGTCTGGACAAGCAGGAAAGCTACCAAGCATGTGCGGAGAGAGGAGAATGTCCCAAACCAAGCCTGGAATGACAAGGAAGTAATGCGCATGAAATAGATAACCTCATGGGTAGAATGAGAGGAGAGGGAGGAGAAAAGCGATGGGGGAAAGGCAGGCTGGAGAACAATGAAGAGGATGATGACATACAAGATGGGGATAGTCCAAAGAGCCTCCCCGCCAACTGCATTGGCATGCTGCTACTTGGACTATTCCGATCATTCTACTACGCAGCAAATCCATTCGCAGAGAATACGACTTAAGAAGTCGATGAACAAAAAAGAGGATATTTGGATTGCTCAGTAAAAGCCGACCGGTATTTTTTTGTCTACACACCACGCACACACACTCTCTCCCAACGGAGGTACAAGGAGTCATCCCGATCCGTAGACACGTCAAGGGGCATTTGAATTCCATGATTTTGGTTTTAAATTCCGCGTTGCTTCCCTATGCAAGTAGGCGAAAAAAAGAGATTCTCCAGACATCCGTCACTACCCACCAAGGCGGACAACCACCGTTTACTCCTCGACAATGTTACCACGCTCCGACACGTACAGACCGTCAAGGAACTGTGCAAAATCATTCATGTCAGTGACGGTCTCGATATTTTCTCTCACGAGAAACCAAAGGGAGGCGGCATTTTTCTTACCTTACGGATATCCTTGTTGCGGACACGGCAGATCTGCTGGATGTCGGCAGCACTCTGGGAGACACCCTCCAGGGAGTTACCGGAGAGGACGAGCTCATCCTTGACGTTGGGAGAGGTGATGACCTCAACGCCAGGCTGGGCGGTCACACGGCGGACGTACTTCTCACCCAAGAAGTTTCTGTAGAACGCAATACCCATCAGCAAAATGTCTCCTCCCAGTAACATGATAATTGACCAAGCACTGGTAGGTAGAAGCCAGAACCCAACCGGGAAAAGGAAAGAGAATAATCCTTTGGTTTGATCCCGGCTCATCCCCCAGTCTTCGATGCGTGTGCGAGTGAATTGATTTCGGCATACCTGATCTCAACGTCGTGCAGACCGGTCTCGGGGTTCTTCTCAATGTTGACGTTGATGGGAAAGTGAGCGTAGACGTAGCGCATCTTGTACTTGAAGCCCTTGGTGACACCGATGATCAGGTTGTTGATGAGGGTGCGGACGGTACGAAGGGAAGCCATTCCCTTGCGGACACCGTGGTGCATCTCAATGGAGATGACATTCTTCTCGGGGCGGCCGAAGGTGACAGCAATGTGGGAGAGGTCCTTGACGAGCTTGCCTGTAAGAGGAGGGAAAAGGACCCATGTTAGTGTCGCTGAATACAGACGGGTGCGGCACATAGCTCGAGCCGTAGGTCACAACACGCCACGAGGAACATATTGGTCGATATTGTTCCAAATGGCCGGGTCGTGGTGGATTGTTGGAAAATTTGCATACCTCGGGGTCCCTCAACGGTCACAATGCGCGAGCGAATGTGAACCTTCACTGTAGGAGGAAATTCGAATCAGTCCCATGTCCTTTTCCATCATATCACGCAAAATTGAATCGCAAGAATAGATCGCAGGGACAGGCATTCAGTGTAGCATCTCTCTTCTTTTATTCTCTCCCCCTAGCGATTGCCGGTTGTAGCTGGCGCAGCGCTATCCTCAGCCTCCTAAAAGTCCCCCAGAATCCTCGATGCCATGCCTGTCCCTCCGGCCAGATCCTCCTCCGCGTCCACCCAGCGAACAGAGCGACAAAGATCGGGGAATAATCGAATGCTCACCATTCTCGGGGATGGGCAGCCGTTCCTCGGAGTAAATGTACCGCATCTTGACTGCGTGGGCTGTGGTGTGTCCGCGAGGGAATTGTCGATATCGTCGAGCGGTCGGTCGTCAAAAGGATCGAAATTCGACAAGGCAAACCGCAGTCGAGGAGTGGTGGAGCGAAAATCACGGGTTGTGCGTCGCTTACGGCCCAATCCGGATTAGTCCTCTTGTCCGCCTAGGGCTGCCCGGTTTGGGTATAGTCCCGACCCGTCTTTTGGTTTCACTGACCAGAAAATCATAAGCATAATAATAGTGATTTGTGAAAATTAAATTAATGAAAATAATAAGAAAATGAATAATTTTACTCGTCTCTATCTACAGTCGTTCACTTGTCCTGTACCCGGCCAAATGAGAAGTGCTCTCTGCCTTTGCTCAATGCGTGGGGGCCCACGCATCATGGGCAACTGGCATGTCTCCAGGCTATACTCACATACTACCCAAGTCACTCAGAATTTCTCTCCCATGAAAGATCGTGATATCAATTATTACTAGTATACTAGGTATAGAAAGATCGCCTGTTTACCCCCTACTATGTACTAAGAATACATAAACCCTTCACCCGCTAGATAATTATTTCCCGTATAATGTTGTACAAGCCCTTGGTGCTTGGAGTCCAATCCAGTCCATTGGGATGCCAATGGAGGAGCCCATGGTTTCAGTGCCTGGCCTGCTGGTTCAAAAAAACAGAAACTCCATTGCTTCTGTCAATCCGGCCATACTAGTCTCTGCTGCCTTCCGAGTGGCTTCACTCTTTACGATGGACCTCCTGGACCCACTTACCCCCCAAGCTTCTCAATGTTGAAGCCAATTCGTCCTTTTGGTCCAGAGCCGTCACATCATCCCCTCCTCCAATGCTTTTCCCGTTGACCAACACATTCGGGACAGTGCGACGCCCGGTATTCTCTCCCAGCAACGCCTGCAGCGGCCGACCCAACTCATGCTTATCCAGCTCCACCACGAAAGGTGCAGGAACAATTGAGTATTTGTCCAAGAGGATAGACTTCGCCTTGGCGCTGTATGGGCAGTAAGACTTAGAAAATATAATGACTGGAGAAAAGCAGCACATAGGTTAGCAAATGTTCCCAAACGCAAAAAGGGAAGGTCTCCCGTAGTAGTAAAGGAAACAGGAAAGAATCCATACTTGGTGCCCGCTTTAATATGCCATTCAGCTCGGCCACCGCAGCCGCATGATCATCTGTCTCCGGCTTCTGTTCCTGCGGCTGTTCCGACGTCTCTTTCTCCGGATCGTTTCGGTTCTTGGGTACTGTCATCTTGGTCCTGCCCGCGATCGGGATCTCTTCTACATCGTCCGCATCATTGTTGTTGGCCTTGGGGATGGCCGGTTCTTCCTTATCGTTGTCCATGGCAGGCTTCGTCTCTTCCTTGATGGGATTCTGTTTGGGCTCGTCCTTGTGTGGCGGGATGTTGGCTGCGGTTCCCGCTTCCTTTGCCTGCTTTTGAGCCTCCATCGCCGCCACGGTTGATCGGTAGAATTGCTGATTCTGAACACTCCGGGCTTCACTCTATATGGGAAGTCATGCATCGCATCAGCCATTGTATCCTTGAACAATCGTATCATTACGATGTCATGGGGTATATTACCGAATAGTAGAAAGTCATGATGATTATGACCACCACGGCGATGGCCAAAAGCCGAATGCGCCGCTGCGAAAGCATCTTCGACAAAGGTGTGACACCACGTCCAAATCGGAACAAGGCAAGAAGAAACAGAAAGAAGGGGGTGACTCGGCGAGAAATATTGAACTCTCTCTCACGGTCGGAATACTTATTGCTATACGTCACAGGAATTCTGAGCCAATGGCAGCTATGCGCATGCGTTCGCGTGGTTTAAGAGTAGGCTGGTTGAGCCGACAGGTCATAGGCGCAGCTCCAATTCCAAGAATAGCTGGACATTGGGCGAGGAGACAACCACGAAGCCTCTGCAAAGCTGGGGATATGGTGGCAAATAAGAATAATGAATATTGAGGATGGTATCTTCAAGGATAATACAATATATTAAACCCCCGAGACTAGCATGGAGGGGAAGTAGACGAGATGATGGGGGGAAATTTGGGGGGAGGTTTACTTTACGGGGGGAGAAACAAGGCAAGGATTCCGATTCATGAGGAGAGGAAGTGGGGCAGAAACAAGCTGGTCGGGGTTGGCCCGCCCTTCATTTAGTTAGCCAGTCCTGTCAAGACCAACGAACTAGTAGTTACCTATCTATAGCTTAGATGACGTCTACATAGGTTCGCTAATTTACTCTTTCCCATCTCTTGCACGGACACAAACATTGATTATGCATTATATTAGCAGGTATCTCTATGTATGCTATGGTTGGGGTATGAAGCTAATAAAGGGATGGTATCATGATCCAAAGCACCAAAAACAAAGAAAAGTAAAAGGAAAAACAACAACAAGAACAAGGGCATCAAGTCTTGCTAGTGACATGCACTAACTAGACACATATGTGGAGGAACAACAGCCGCAGCAAAGCACCGCAGAACCTGCAGCGGTACGGCTGACCCATTCTAGACTCCATCCACTGAACGGGGATCTCCACCGGCTTCATCTTCCTCCTCCTTTTTTTAAAAGCAACGGATTGCATGCACTGCATAACCTGCAGTTATCACGCTTGAACTGCAATGCCAGAGCGTGTTCCAACGGTAGCTCTGCGTTTACCTTGTACCACGATCATCCAATCTTCCCATTCCTTGGCAATCTCCATGAGCACATTGCCCATCACTGCCGCCGAGGCCATCAGCCCATGACCCTCTCCTTCCAGCACCCGAACCTCACACCGTCGCATCATTTGCCCCAGCCATCGGACATTGTCCACAGGGACACGGGTGTCACGGCTGCCATGGTGGATGACAACGTTGCGGGTGATATCCACATATCGGAAGCCAATGGGCTGACGACGTTCCAAGCAGACCAGCAAATCCACCGCCGGGTTTGCGTTTGTAGTCGCTAGCTCCCATATCTTATGCGTAAGTCGGTTATCGTAATCGGTCTGGCGTTCCCGTTCTTGCGACGAGGCGAGTAAGGCCTGACTTGCTGTGGGGTCGGCCTTCGGATAACCCTCGGCAACGGAGAAATCAGAAGCCTTCAAACCCTCAAGGGCCTTCAGATCTGCCCCTTGCTGGGAGATCTTGGATGGGAGCCGTTGCGTCCCCTTGGCGTCGGCGCCGGTGGGACTGGAACTGTCCTTGAGCAGCGCTTTCCGTTTAGCCCGGCGCGGAGATTTGGGGAGGCTAGAGGTCAGGCTTGCACTGGTTGCAGTCATGAAGCTTGAATTGGCCACCTTGAGAATGGACGTCGGCAGGGCTCGGAGAATCCGCTGAGAATACGGGACAGCATTTGTGGGAACGGGAGCCTTTTGCGAGCCAATGCTAGACAGCTGAGAAGGTGGAATCCAGGGTGCTAACAAATGAATCCGGCCCCGGATATGCTGTGGGATCCGAAGCGCAGTAGCCAACGCGTAGATAGCACCCGCAGAGTGCGCCATAATTGAAAACTTGGTAACTTTGAGGTGGTTGCACACAATGGCAACATCATCTGGGATACGATCATCAGTGAGGACAAGGCAACAACCGAAATGGAAGATACTCACCAGGCCAACTGAGGGGAGTTCCCGCCTCGTCCACATAGGGGCCGCTTTCCCCCACACCGGGGCGATCCAATGTAATGAGCCGCAGGCGCAATGATCGTGCCAGCTCATCGTAGAACGCCATCAGGTACCTTGTGAGGCCCATGCCAAGACAGCAGAGTACCACATATCCCTTAGGGTCCCCAACCTCGGAGAACGCTATGGTACGGCCCGATGTGGGATGCGACACCTTCTGGGTAAGCTTTGGGGAAGATATGTAGTCGTAGACCGCAAGATCAATGGAATCGGCACTTGTGGGGCGTTCCTCCCCACTCGAGACACCAACAGGAGTAGCGGAACCGGACGAGGAGCGCTTATGGGTAAAAGCTGAGGTTGATTGTTCCAAAGGCCCTCTGTAGCGGGAAAGCTGGTCAAACCTGTCCAGAGACGGTGGCGGGTTACTGGTTGACTTCGAGGCCAGCGAGGAGCGGCTCTTGCCCGTCATGACTGCTGGGGCCGGCGCACTCTCGTCGAAGCCGCCATTCCTTTGGCGGTCGATCTGCCTAGGCTCCATCGATTCGCTGCTGGCACTGGCATTCTGCGACTCCCGGGCAGATGCAACGGCGGGGGCAGGCTTAGAAGGCTTCTCCGGGGTATCATCTATTTCTAATTCGCTCTTGATCTTTTGCTGCTGATCTTTCAATTCTTGTATTCGTTTCGTTACCTGTTCGGCTTCGTTGCCCACGCCCGATATCGCACTGTCCACTTTCATCTCTCTGCTACTGGTTGAAGAGTACCGGCTATGGCGGGTGGATCTGCGGTGCTTTGGGCTGGAAGAAAAGCTATAGCGCAACGAGGACTCCCGAGCAGGAATAACACGTCCGCTGCCAATACCTCCTGGTGTACTCGGCGCACTATCGCGAGCGCTTTGCAACGAATGGCGTTCCTTACTAGAGGGTCTGCTGAATGTCGCTTCTCTGCTGGGCTCGGTGGCTGCACGCACTGGGCGTGTCTCCTCCACGACGTCAGCCATAGAACACAACGAACGTATACTAGCACGACTGCGCGGTATATTGTGTCGCAAACCGTCGTTGAAACTACACGTTTTGCGTAGCCGTTCGGTTTTCCTGTCCTTATCACTGTAAAACTCTCGAGATGGCCTCTTGAGGAGGCCAAATTGATTTCTCAGGCTCTTTCTAGAGCCCGAAGATGCCACACTATTTGCTGTAGACACTCGGGGGCCTGGTTCCGTGGTGATGGTGCCAAAAGCAGTATCTTCATACGCTGCCTTAGATGACGTGTAAGAGCCCCTAGATGTCGGTCTTCCTGGAGACAAGGGCGGATCGAAAGTCGCTTTATGTTTGGGAGATGGAGGCGCCCGTGCCATGCGAATGATAGGAGGAGCCGCCGCATCATCTGGATGCAGAAAGGGAGTCTGCAACGCCTCCTCAGACGCTTGCCGCGTCCTGTTCCTCACTGAAAGGTCATGCTCGCTGGGTTGCCGTTGGTCAAGAGAGGGAGATTGACCTGTGGGAATGTACACTGGCGCAGAAGGATTCGTCTCCGTATCAATGCGCGGGATGTTGTCGAAATGCGACTGGAGAGGCACCGAGATCGTTGAAAGCGACGAAATCAGAGAGGAGATGACTTCGGGAGACGCCGGGTCAACCGCTGTTGCTGACGGGTCACTGAGCTGCGTGCGCGAAGGGATGGACTTGTGATGTCGGGGAAGCGAAGGGGGGAGGTGAAAAGGGGCATCATCAGACTTTGACGCCAAAGGATCCTCGGCGCGATTCATGGTTGCCATTGACAGGGAATATGACGGTCTAGAAACGTTCCCCCGGGCCAGGATCAGGAGACAGTTACCGACGATATATGCGGTCGAGCGTAGTGCGCGCTTGCATGATCCAGTGAGAACGCAAGATAGCGTATGCAAGCTCGGTAGCTTAACGGCAAGAATCAATAGACTGCGGGCGCTTGGCGCATGTGCCACTTAGAATTCAGACTGGAAGATCCAGGGCGGCCCTATCGAGCCCCTGCGGTCTGCAAAAGCAAGCCCCCTTGCCGAACGGTGATTGTCTAGAAGCAACACCTTAACGAGGAGGGTGGGAGAGAGAGAGAGGGGGGGTGGGTTTGGAACTGCCGATCCGAGGGGGGGGCGACTGGAAGGTTGTTTTGGTTGGGAGTTAGTATAGCGCAATTGCGCGCGAAGAGAGAGGAAAGAGAAAAAGATTGGTGGCAAGGAGCGGCGGATAAGATAAATATTATTTGCATTAAATCATAATAGGAAAAGGGGAAGAAGCTAAGTATTAAGTGGAGGAAAAAGGAAGGACGGAGGTACGATCGATAAAAGGAAGTGTACGGAGTACCAAAAAAAGAAAAGTATCTAGTTTAGAGAATGGAGGGGCAAAAGGGAAAGCCAATGGATGGATGGATGGAAAGTGAAGAAGTTGAAGGAGAGGAAAGAAGGAGAGAAAAAGAGAGAAGAGATCAATTCAATTGATTCCCCAAGCCACACACAGAAAGAAGCTGGCCATGAGGATAGATGCTTACTGCAATCTCTCCAAGCAGGACAGCTTCTTCTATCACCCTCACCTGATGATGGATGCTTCTGCGAGACGGCAGGCCAGGAACAAGGAGAGAGAGAGAGAGAAAAGATTAATTACTAGTGGACTCTCTCCAAAAGAAATTCAAGGGATATCTGCCCTGTCATTTGCCTGACCGAGTCCCCGCCCGTGTTTTAGTGTCCCTGCAGGGCCTCCACTCCTCGATTTCAATTGAATGCGCCATTTCATCCTCCGCACAGTTCGCAGATCCAAATTTCATGGGTGTGTGTATACGAAAAGTATCTAGTCCAGCATTGGATAAATATGCCTGCTAGCCAGGGGCACATGACTGCCTCCTCAAGATTGGGATTAGCCTTTTGTTTCAAATTTCAGCATGGTAATTCTGTTGACTGGTTAGGATCTGACACTTGGATCTTTGTCACATAGGATATGATGATGTTTTGTTGTTTAGTACTTGGTTGGTGACGATAAATGTCCCACCTTGCTCACTTATACTTATCCGTGTTAGTTAACCCTTGGGT